TGCTACCGATAAGAAACTCAAGGGGAATCGACAGTTCTTGCACACAAACTTTCATTATCAGCCACTATCAGCTGCTACCACTTTTTGTCGTCAACCATCTGTTAGCCAATCATCCCACATACATCCCGAAACACTAAGGTATCGCGGTTGATGCAAACTGGGATTACGAAGATGCTTGATTTAACTCTCCAAATTATCCCTTGTTATCGCTACCTGACAGCCTCCATCGGCGCTCATCCTGCCACCTGTATCCTTTCCTAATATGGTTGTTCTAGGTTCGGAAGGATAGGAAATACGAAATTCCAGGAAACACACATGCACACACATACAAACACAATCACATACCACACCAATTGACACACATAGCTACTGATCAAAGTAGGATAGCCCTAATTTATCAAGTGATAACATGGCATACATAGATACATACTTAGGTGTAGGGATTTCAGCCAGCTGATAGCAATCGATACAGGTTTATACCTTTGTTGACCGGGTCATCCCTTATCATCAACGCATATGGGACACCGGACAGGCTTATTCGCTACTGATAGCAGTCCGACTTTGGCAGCGGTTTTCCGAGTGTGTGGCGGAATCCTGGTTGTCATCATGAACTACCGATTTTCGATCAGAGGTTTCTCGCATGGATTTCATCTTCTGATCACTATTTACGGTCGCCACACTTATTCATTCATCTCTGCCGAATTTTTCGCAATTTTCCCCTACACAATCGTCATTACTGGAAGTTACTATGTAAAGAAAACTTCCGTGAACTCTGCTAGGTGAGCGGGCGTAGTTAGACGTAAATGTCCTTCACCTCAGCAGACCAGCCTGGTTCCTTAATAACCGCCGCGCTCTCATTTCTTACCTACACCTCAACTTTTCTCCTCGCACTCATTTACTACGACAATACCAGTAACTTGTGCAGCTGTCTTCTAGTTGTTCCCAGAACCATTCTTCTCTATCATTGGGATTACTTCAGGGTGGAACTTAGGCATCCTCACAGTTGCTGGCAATCCTGGTATGCTTATTCGTCTTACTGCCTGTCGGTCCTACTAAAAACCAGAGGAACTTGCCGTTGACCGAAAATTCGTATGAAAAAAAAAGAACAGAGGCTCATAATGAGAGGAGAACCTGGGTTGAAACAATGCTAATGAAAGCACAACATTACTTCTTATGACACTAGGTACCGGCAGAAGTTGTGTAGTAGCAAGTAGTGCACTACCACACATGCAATGGCCTAGGATCGGATACCGGCTCGATACTCGCCCAGTTCAACCAAACCTTTGAACCCTTTCGGATCGGTTGATTGACACCAGACCCATCCGGGAAGACGAAAAGACAGACTTGTATTGGCTGTCTTTTCGTCTTCCCGGATGTCTTCCGAAGTCTTTGTGAGGTCTCATAAGCATTCAGAAACACCGCTATAATTTCGAATGGACGCCGAATGCAAGGCGCACCCCAACAACGATATTAATTGACGCCAAAAAAGTTATCTTCTGTCCTTGCACTTTTGAAACCGATGATATCAACTTGTAGTTTGATTGACACCGTAGTAATAACATGACCTTGCTCATTGTCAGTGAAGAGCACAAGTGTTCAGGGAATAAGGGAAGTAGGATGGCATAGCAGGGATCCAATCGATATCGATTGAAATTATTGGTTTTTGTGCAGAACGCTTAAGGTGGTTCATGTACACTGTATGGCAGGCACAATGATCATTGAAATTAAACATTCACACAGATTAATAGACCGTTGGTCTGAAAACGCTTTTTAAGTCACGCGCATGGTACCGTGCGTAACGAAAACTGGTTCTATACAAAGTGGCAGAATGTAATCATAATCACAGCATTTCTGTGAGTTGATATCGCATAGCCGATTGACTTTGCAATTCTGTAAGCGCTCGAATTCCCACACTTTCCACAGTTTCGGGTTATGGGCAAAATTCCGGCCTCGGACAGGACTGGATCCGTACTTGTGCTTTCCTGGCACCGTGCTTTTTCCCCCTTTTCTGAAATCCTCATTTCATTCCTCTTATTAAAACCTTTTATACTGTAGGTAAGCGCTTTTTAGATACGTCTTACATATCAAGTAACAAATTACGTAATAAATTGTCATAGGAAGAACTGAAATTACTGGATATTGGGTGCTATGTTGGTGAGCGAAAGTGCTGTTTCGGCCTTCCGACTGTTTTTAAGGTTTCTGGGCATAATGCGCGACCCTAATACTGCATCCTATCGATTGGCGGGGAGGCGGGCCGAGTACGGTAATTGCAGTTTGGAGCCGCGAGGCAACTAAAAAAGAATTCTGTATAATTCTGTGTTCAACTCTAACGAGGTTGTTATAAAACTTTATTGGCTGACGTTTCGGCGATGTCGCCTTCCTCAAAGAAAGAAAAGAATTGCCGCGTGCCGCGGGGGACGTGCGATTCGTGCGATTCCAGGCGCGCGCGGCAAATTGCGCGGCGAAATTCGCGATCATTCAAACAACTCTGGCGTCTATCACTGGGGCACAAACTTGAAGTAAGTACTTTAGTAGGGTCGGGCAATCTTACTAACCTACTTTACTTCAAATTTGGGCCCAAATGATAAACGTTGCAGTCATCCAAATCCCACTGAATTTCGCCGCGCAATTTGTCGCGCGCACCCAAAATCGCACGAATCGCAACACACCCCGTGCCGCAAAGTGAACGTAGGAAGTCGGGGAAAAGTTCCGTCACCCTCCTAACCTTGCATGTCTGACCTTATGACCCACTTGAAAGAAAACAGGCCACAAGACGAAAAAAAATCGGAAGTCGGGTATTGATGTATTCGTTGTCAAATATGTCAATAACATGAACTGGATCTCGTACATTCACACTTTGGTGACAATTCCTCTATATTATGCCTAATAAAAGGGGGTTATGCATTCAGACTTCGCGTTTGCACATTGCTGACGGTTAGACTGGATCGATAATCAGGGGTTGATCGATGCTGTGACGCGGCCAGGGTGTGGCCAACGACCGACGAACGTCCGCAATGTGCCAACGCAAAGTCTGAGCGCTGCAGTTTGGTTTTTCGATTCGTACTGAATTCTTCGAAATAGTAAATCCCTCCATAAAGTCAATCATGAGGGTCAAAATACTCCTGGCCAATGATGCTCCTGAAGGGGTGGCTAAGGGATTTCGTTGGTTTTATTTGATTTACCCTTGGAGTTACTATATAGTGTGTTATGTATCCAAAAACTCATCGAGAAATAATTTTCTTTGTTTTACGGAATAATAAGGTCCTGAAAGACCTTATAAAAGGCTAATGGAAATTCAAAATGTAAATCTGCCAACTTTGTGCAATATTGCGTCTTCTGTTGAGCCGAGATGTCCTTTCATTTTTAAATTGTAGTACTGACGTCGCTTTTGTTCTTTTTCTTTGGAAAGAACTTTTTGTGAATTTTGACTGATTAATTTATTATAGTGTTAGTATTTCTTTATGCCTTAATGTCTCGATATAATTCATTTCAAACTAGTTTCGGATTTACTATTCAGGACTGTTCATGACCATTTCTCATGCCATTTCCATGTGATGCAAATGTATTTTGACTGGAAATGAGCCATTCTCGCAGAATTGCCCGCTCCCTTTTGTTTTTTCATGACGATTGAGTATACTGCTTGAATTTTTTGACATTGCTCAAATAGTTAGGTATACCTTTTAAAGAAATAGGGTAAACCTTACCGAATGTTTCAAACTTTTGCCAAAACAGTTCTCACGGTTGATCAGCTTTAAAAACACACAATTTACAAAAAAAATGTGGCCCGTTTGATGGGGAATACTTCGGACGAGTTAGTGTTTTATTTGTGGTGGAAAACATCGAAGCCTAACAGTCAAAAATCCCCGGATCGAATTCCAATTCGATTTTTTTGCTGGTTGGTTTTTCTATTGGTTTTTCTTTGCTTTCTTGGGTTCAGCTCTTCTATGACTATGCTTGTACTAACTCTGTTCCCAGCGATGTTATTGATTTTTTTCAGAAGTAAATGGATACTGTTCGCATGTGAATTTGATTTTATATTTTATTTTGTTGTGGTTATTTCTTAAAAAGTAGTGGCAGAATTCTCAGCGTAATGTCGTCCAAACATCAAAAAAGCCTACGGTTGATTTTTAATCGTTACATTTGTATCATAAATGGCAGATTTAATTGTAATTATGGACCTCACTTTTGTATTCTCTGTGTTTTTGGCATGGAATGTCGTCATTTTATACTTTAAAGTTCATAGGTTTGCCCTTTTCTCATGCCTTTTTCGTATGCCCGTTCCCCTATTTAATCGATTGGTTACTCCGCACTGTTCGTTATTCGAGTTCTTTGTTCGAAAAGTCGTAGCCACAATATAGAGCGTGTTCGAGAGCTCAATACAGATCTTTTGCACAGTCCCTAAATGATGGAGTTTGGTCGCATAAAGTCCCATTTACCCTGTTTTCCTTGGAATTAAAACAGGCGTACCATTTGGTGAATGTGATATCATTTTGTGAATCTCTCGATCGTGTGAAAACATTTGTACGAATGCTTTATATTTCAGCTTCCGAACAATTCAGAGATTTCTCACTCTGTACAGGCAGAATGATTTCCCATTACTTCATTCCCTTTGTTTATTGTTAGTAATCGCTATCGGGTATGAATATTTCTTCTAAATTGAGCCAGCTACCTGTAGCTTTTGTAGCTTTTTCTCGATAAATTGTAGTGCAGCATTATAGCCTCTTCTCTTTACTGTCGTAATTTGTCAACTTTCTTAATTGGAGCCGTTCTTATTTCTCCCATTTCAATTTCAGGCACATCTACCCAGCTGCCGTAGTTCGTTGGTTCACTTGCAATTTGCTGGCTCTTCAGGAGTCATGCTGCGACTGTTTGTAGTTCTGCTTCTAGTCAGCAGAGTCGTCGCCTTGGATGATTACGATGTAAGCACTTTTAATCTAAATTACGCTTATACAGTTCTCGTTTCTTGGTTAATTCTGATGAGCGGCTGCTGGCGAAAGAGAATGTTGCAGGATGTAGTGCCTCGTATCGCTTCATCTCTTGGCACCATCGTGATAAGCACTATCGACGGCCAATTGAGGGCATTAAATACGGGAACAGGAGATACTAGGTGGACTATTCAGGGAGGTTGGGTTTTTTTTTTCAAAATTTCTTTTTCTGCACAGTTTGAACAGACTTTTTGGCACTTTGCCGTTCTAAATAGAGCACACCAAGCAAGGCTTAGCCCAGACTCTGCGTTAGAGCTTAAATTTGCACGTTGTGCTCTGTTCAGAAGTTCGTGAATGTGTCAGCTAACTTCTAAGTTTTTACCTCAAGACTAGAGTCGTACTTATTCATGAGGATTGTATTTCACGAGTGAAATCTATGGATATTGTTAGTTCGCCCTTCAGTGTTTCTTCAGCTTAACGCCTCTCTGTAGTAAGGTGCCCTTCAAGTTGAACTGGTTGCGTTTTCTCCTGTTTCCTTTGCATGATATGGTACTATTGCAGATCCTGTTCTTCGAGCCCCTAGAACAGTGAAGCAAGGGTTTACATTTCTTCCGAATCCTCAGGACGGATCGCTTTATACGCTCAAAGAGGGCATCCTCAAAAGACTACCTTTAAATATTCCGGCTTTGGTCCATGCTTCTCCGCTAAAGAGCACCGATGGAGTTTTGTACGCTGGTGAGGCTATTTAATTAACTTATGCAGATTACAATAATTATGTGATTATACGTTATAAATTAGTTTTCAGCGATGTTGTGGGTTAAATTGCTTTAGAACTGCCTTTTATATCAAAGTCTATTATTTGCTTGTCAGTTTTGAGCTTCTTCTTCTCATTTTATACCATTTCTTTTAAGGTAGTAAGAAGGACATATGGCTGGAGATTGATCCTCTCACTGGCTCCAAGGTAGCGCTTCTGCTTTTGACTATGAATAAAACTTCCTCTCAACAAGGCACGCTGTCTGTTTTAGGTTGAAACTTTGTCGGCATCCAGTGATAAAGTTTGCCCAGTGAAGCATCACAATGGCGTGTTCGTTGGGCGTACTGAATACCGGGTTTGTAAGGCCACTGCTTTTGTTTGTAATATTTTTGTTTGTGTCTTCTATAATTAGGCTGTATTATGTTTTGAAAATCGGACTCCTCTGAGCTTTTCTTCAGATTACTATGTTTGACACTAAAAACCGTGGTAAGACGTGGAACACGACATTTTCTGACTATTCTGCTCATCTCTTACCAGGTAGGTATATATTGGTATATATCAATGTTTTTGTTCTTTCATCTATATTCTTTGTTTTACTCTAACCCTTCCTTTATTCATATTCATACACCCACTGTTCGATCCGAACATTTTTTGCTGGAGCTTGATTTAATTAAGAACTTTGCTTATGAACTGAAGAAGCCTTCCCCTCTATTCTAAAGTAGTTCGCATTGTTTTGAAAAAGTCAATGTACCACTTATTGAGTCCGTTCTAAGGTGTTTCTCTTCTAGAAATTAGTGGAAGGTGGATATCGGTTAGAAGTTTGCCCTTGGATTTTCGCAATAGTTTTGAGGAAGGAAAATAAAGGCCCACGCAGAGTGTCTTCAAAATGGAAGCACTTCCGTACGCCCCATGATTTTATTTTACATTTTTTTTACCTCATCGAGTGCCTGTCTTTGCTTATACCACAACGCGACTATTGCTTTGAAAGTCCTACATCAAACCAGCAGAAATTTCCAGAAATTGGAAGCCTGTTTGTCGCCCTGTCCTTACTGATTTTATTGTCTCTCGCTTTCAGCAAACAACGACTATCCTTTTCGCCACTATGTATCTCATGGAAACATAGTCACTGTCGGATCTCAAGGTATAAGTTTGTATTTTTATTTTCTGTTCTGGATTAAATTTTTGTTTTGTTTTTGAGCAATTTTTTGTTGTCTAACAGAGATGAAAAGGTGAGTCTTTTAAGGGATTTCCAATACTTCAATGTCCTACAGCATTCTCTTTATTTATATCAAATTTGATTTTGCCATGCAATATCTGGCTCTGATTCTTTCTACCTTTCTTTTCGGTTTTTCAAGTTCTCACGACAGATCACGGTAATGGGGAACTAGCACGTTTTTTTACGATGTTCGGTTTCCCTTTGCTATCTGCATATTAGTGCTTGGCGAGTTTTTTTTTCCACATATTGCCAATTTTCCGACATCTTATGCTCACATTAAACTTGCGCATAATTGATAAACGTACTTTTTTAATTGGCACCATCACCTTCTTTCTCTCTGCTGCTTCAATTTCTGCACTATCAACATAGTTGCAATATTTAATTTACATGTGTGTGTGTACAAAAAAGGGGAACAGGTTTGTGCACATAGCAAAAAAGGCAGAACATCTGGAGCCATGCGTAATGTTTAATGCGTGGCTCTTCCTGGTCTTCTACTCCTTAATTCAGCTGTTTTCGCTTTACGGTTCTTTCCTAACTCCATTCGTTATTTACTGCATTCACAGCACTCCCTTTTTTCACATTGAATGTTCTTGTTGGGATGAATGGAATGAACCCTGTCTCTAGGTGTGAAAATATATCCGAAGTTTCCAGGGGTGAAATGATATCAAAGGTTTCCATTTTCTTTTATCCTTATTTTTCACTTTTCTCTGTTTCCGCTGACTTTATCTTCCACACCTGTTAAGCAGCAGAATACCTTGCGTTTTTATTTGAAGCTTGTAATAGGTCATATACTATCGTAATTTTTTCCGCATCAGTGATTGACAGTTTCTCAAAAATCATTTGAAAAGCTGGGTACTACATCAGTGGCCATTCTTAGATACTCATTGTTGATAAGCGGTTTCACATCAATGGATCGGACACTGATTCCTTAGACAATGTCATACCTGGGATGGGGTTAGCGAGATGTTCGAAGCTACACGGCTCCTCTTCTGCATGGAAAATATGTAATCTTCGGGGTAAAGACTCACGGCATCATCGATTATCTGCATTAGAATAGTGATCGCGCGAAGAATCCTCGAAGTAGTCGCTTCGTCGTTATTCTAAGAGGTTACTCGGAATATTGGGTGCAAAGAACATTTGTCTCCTTCAGAATGCTCAATTAGCTCCCATAAATATTGTCAACACCTGTCTCAAAACAAAAACAGCAAGGTGTTTCGTTTATCTGGTTTCCCTTAATCTCATTGGTTTCTTGATTCCGAAAGCTCTAAACGACTTCTTTCGGTTTTTTCTTGTCACCCACTGGAAGCAGATGATTTTACCTTATGATTTTCTGTCTTTCCCACATTTTCGTTTTTTTTTTAATTTTTACATCGGATCGTGCCTTACTTTTCCATTTCAATACTTGACTAACTATATACTTTTTGTAAAGATCATTCTTATGCACGTTCGGATAATTCATTGGTTTTGAATGATCGTAAGCCATTGATTCGGAAATGGTGATTTCCGCCAATTCAAAAAGTTAGCTGCTTTGATGTGTCTCCAGGCACGTAAGCCTATTCACAGTAGTGTTATCATCGATTCCCCTTTCATGTTATTGTGCGAGCGAGTGAATCATTTCGGTGTCATAATCGAACACTGACGGGCCTACAAAGGTTTTTTTTAATGGTTTTTGTAATCGTCCCGCCGATGTTGAGCTATAAATACTATATGTCTATGGATATCGAAATTCCTCCCGTTTCCGTAAACGGAAATTCGATTTGTCATATTGGAAGCACGTAAAGGATTTGGGATTGGAAGTGCCATGAGAGGAAAAAGTTTGAGATAGTGCATCCGGGCGGCCTCTTCTCGAACCAACTCAAAATGATAATACTAAAGAGAGAAGCCTTCGTGTAGAAGTAAGAGTAGTGCACAATCATTGCTGCATCGGCCAGATTTTCATATGCGTTGGGAATGCTTTTGTTTGAACGCTTCTTCATGTTCTCTTTATTCACTTTGACCTCTTGCCACTTGGATCCGCGACGCCATACTGTTTAAGAAAAAGCGTCTTGAATCAGGCTGGAAGGTACGACATTTATCCTCACACTTTAAAATTTTAAGTGACCCCAAGTATGTTTAACAAAATATTGAGCAAATGTTTCCTAAGCTTGGCTGCATGCATCGGTAATAGAGGCGAATAGGGCAGTGTTGGTGAGGGCTGTGCCCCGCAGCTATAAATGTTGCTAACGTCATGTCGGCTAAAAAACTTGGAGTAGAATGTTAATGTGAGAGATCCTATTTCCTCTGAATGATAAATCTTTCGTCAGCACCGAGCCGAAGGAATTGAGTTTACTGGTTTATATTGAAGCCTCTCTGAACTGATCCAGTAAAATCAATTTTTGATTCATTCACTTGACAATGAGAGAAGTTTGGCAACATCAGTGTTTTAATCATTCAAGTCTACGTGGTAAGGAAGTGAAATCGTGAAGGATTCGCTTTTCAGGTGAAATCATTTGGGAGCGGGATTTTGGTCAACCAGTAGTGGCAATGTATTTACTACAAGACGATGGACTTCATAAGTTACATTTCACGTCGATGGGAGGAGAAACAATGGAGAATATGATAAAGGTGCTTTTGTTTTGTCCTTTTATTTTTTTCCGACATAGAACATTCCTCCACTTATGTGAGGTATAACCAAAACTTCATTTCACTTGTCAGATATGTATAGAAGTTAAGCTGCTGCGGGTTTTGATTTCTTCAGATCCGCTTTCATGGTTCTGTTGATGATCGGGCAGGTGTGTTCTGCTCTGACACTTGACCGTTATGACCCGTTTTCCTTCGTCTCTTACTCTTCTTTTTGGAACTCCTGAAATCAAGCAGAAATGCCCTGTAAAGTTGTTACGACACTCTGATCTACTTTAAATTATTCCTAATAATCTCCAGCCTCGCCGTTTGCCATCATTCGGGTCTTGATGTAATGCGATTTCCTCGATTTGTAANGTTATGACCCGTTTTCCTTCGTCTCTTACTCTTCTTTTTGGAACTCCTGAAATTAAGCAGAAATGCCCTGTAAAGTTGTTACGACACGCTATCTACTTTTAATTATTCCTAATAATCTCCAGCCTCGCCGTTTGCCATCATTCGGGTCTTGATGTAATGCGATTTCCTCGATTTGTAATAGCTAATCAGTACGAAGTACTCTTACAGTACACCCGGAGCTTGCAGGTGCCGGCGGGTGTGGGTGTTGTGAAAACGGACCACTAACTGACTTTCTAGGTACGAATGGTTCGGCATAGTAAGGCTCTTCTTTATGTACCTCGTCTACCTCGTTATCCTCTGCAACTTCCTCTTCACTATTTGTGACACTGAAATAGTATACATAGTGGGCGGATCATCTACTGAGTTAAGAGAAATAGAGTCTCCACTTGCCTGTAGTCATATCCTCTCCGGACTAGATACCCATGAACAGGACACAGTGCCTTCATCACCCGGATATTTCCTTCGGAGTCATATTTACAGAGGCATGGGAGTTCTTCGCCGGGAGCAAGGTACCGGCAACTTGCGGCGGTCCCAGTAGTTTCACTACCCGATGATGTTGATGTTTCATCATCTGATTGTTCCTGAAACCATGCTCATCCATGAGGGGACTTACTGGATCAATTAGGTAAAACACGTACCTGGATGGGTGATGGCAGATCTTCTATCATGATTGATTGCTTCGATCGTGAGGAATGATTAGAATGTAAGGATCGAATGTCTTGTATCGACAGCCTGGCATTAATGCTGGCTTTTGGAATAGTGTGCAAGGATTGTGCGCGTGCCTGTTTTTTGATGGCCAATTGAGATAGTGTTGATGATGCACTACAAAAAACAAATAAATAATTGTAAACAACACAATTCCCTTGCCGAAAATTAATGTTTTTCAATGTATAATGTGCTTAAATATGCACTAAAAATTTCACAACTGAAGGAAGTTCAATCGATAGATGGACTTACATTGATCCTTTTCGTTTTCTGACATATGCTTGAGCAGCAAATACAACCAACGAGAAAATTTCGAGTAGACTGACCACAGACGCACCGATCCACAATCCAGTCAAACCACCCAGGTCAGCAAGTACGCTCGTAAGCTGGATGAAGAGCGGTGCAGTTAGAGTAGTTGTTAGTGAAGCGAATATCAAAAATCTTTTTTTAAGTGTTTTCTTTCCAAAAAGCGTTAGCCTTTGCTATCATTTAGTAGTATCATGAATTATCGTCAATGATTGTTAGGGCTATGGCACGCTTTTTTTCAATCGCGAAAGTCTATAGTTAGGTTTTAAGCGGTCATTCGGTCCATATCGTTGTTTAGGAGGGTGTAGCACAAAAGGGTAGCGGTCAACTGAGATGGTGGAGACTGGTTTTGTGGATGGATTGATCAGCTGTTTTCATAGCGATTTCGGCTACTGCATGAATGGGTCAGTTTGGTCCCTCAGCAGTCGGCGTACCTTCTTTCTAGCTTGGTAGTTTATGTGATTTCGACAGGTGGTCCAGGTGCGACACCCCCTCAAGATGTTCTCAATGTGCCCTAAGAATGTTATACACACTGATTGGGAGAGTGCAATCACGGTTTCCCTATTGGAACAGGTTGAACCTGCAGTGCCTAAAGAGGCCTAACGTTTTGATGGACAGGCTCGTATCAATTCATTTTCCGCAGTCGTCGTATAATAAAGAGAAGAACCCTTCAGGTCAATGAACACCCCTGATTTCCACTTACACTCACCTTCAGACGTAACAAAGGTAGCTCGTAAAGTGGCTGTTAGTGTAAGAGGGCATCTCATATATTGGTGAGTGAGTGTAATGATAACCATTACATCGCAATAGATTTACCCCACGATTTATTGGTCCCGTGATTTCCTGGGTTGTTAATTATTCGCACCAGTTCTTTGATTCCGGCCATTAATTGATGGGTGAAGAGATAGGTTGATAAGCAAGCCTGCCAAGTGGATAAAATAAAAAGATATTATCGAATGGAGTCAGGATCCTGGATAATTTCAAGGATCCCGATTTCGCTAAATCGATCTGACTTTTTCTGACCCATATTGTCCCGTGCCTACGTTCTTCTTCAGTTGTTTTAAACTCTACCCAAAAATAGATTGAGCCAAGCTAATCAGTCACTACCGGTCCAGTACTAAAGGTGTAATTTACCTTTGGAGGCAGTTGGAATTTATGACATGGAGGAACCCGATCCCCACAAACCGATTTGGCTTTCCAAAATTACCAGGAAAACGATTTCTGAACTTGATACAGTGGAATTGTGGGTGTGAGCCCTTCACGAACGCAATATTTTCAACAGATGCTGCCGTCTGTCCCATTGTATGAAAAGTACAAAGTGAACAAGTGATCGCCGAGAGTTGAAGAAGAGTACACTGGCATCACGCAACTGATATCCCCCACCCACAGGTGCCACTGGAAATTAAGCTCATCCCCTCTCTGCGATTTATCATGGTTTTTAAACCCAACGAGATCTGGAGAGGTAGCGAAAAGCTAATTTTTTGTTACCTTTCTGAATAATAGGTAACGTTGTTTCACTCCTCGGTGACAGATGGAGTGCTAAGGGGTAAAACCTGAGGATTTCGGCAACCTAGTCTTCAGGAGGGTAATTTATTACACACTATCGGTCCAGTATTTCTTGGTATTTGGGTACTCAAAAGCCTTTGTCAAGAATTTAACAGAAGTTCGACTTTTTCCGAAATCTTCTGGATTTCCCCATGGAAGTAGCGCATAAAGACGTCAATTACTCGTATGCGCATAAAATATCTGGGGATTTCATGACATTCCAATCGGTTAACCAAGTCAAGGCTTATCTTCGATCTTCCTTCTACTACTCGCCGCACATTTAGACAATTCCACCGGTATAGAGTTAAACAAGCCAAATCAATTCTATGGGAACTCCCAGAAAAATTCTAAAAAGATATGGAGTAGTGCAAAATTTACTGGGACGTTTCGCAGCGACCTAATGTTGGTACCTCTTGGTTGACTTCAAGAGCGCGAGTGCATTCTTGGTTCACTTAAGCACTTCCTGATGATATATACGCTGGATTGTATCCCTTCCCGTTCCCTCCGCTCCTCCCACAGAAAACTGCTAGATCCACGACAAAGCGAAAACTGTTAGCAGAAATTCCGAAACTTGTGGAAGCAACATTGTTAGCTGCTAAAAATAATCTACTAATGTCACGAATTTATGGTTAGAGGCCAAAATGTCACCCTGTGCAGCGTTTTCGCAATGCGCCACGCTGTTAAATTGTTGGAATTAGTTGGGATTAATTGTTTGCGTTTAAGCTGGCCTTTTGAATAACACCTAAAATTTGATGGCTACGAATTTGTAGACTAGCCTGTGAATGGATTGCTACAGGTTACGGTAACATAAAAAGCGTATGAACTAAAAAAAATACTTGAAATAATCGAAGTAATGATAACCTACTGTGTATGCAGGTGTTTCCCGAAGTGTTTCATAGTTCAATTCTTCGTAGAAGATCTGGATCATTGCAGCATTTTTACGATATTTTTCAAGGCATAGAAAATCTCCAGGCACGCAATCCATTACTTTTGCAGAACCAGATGGCCATCTAGCCGCCGAATAGGTCACTTCATAATTTGTTTCCCTGAAAAAGATAGCCATAAGTTTTATTGGGAATTTACCCTGGATGAAACGATTTTTAGGCAGTCATCATATTATCACACACGCATGGTCGCGGGTTCGAATTCCGACTCGATACTGGTTCAGACCTACTGACCTTTTTCCCTTTCCTGGATCGGTTAGCTGGTACCAGACACGTCTGGGAGGAAAAAAAGCTGTGGCCTGTACGACGGCTGGAGACGCCGCATGTCACTGTATAGCCCACACAATGCTACACAGTCCTTAATCAATCCCGTTTTTAGGATGCGCCTCGCAATCGAATTCTATTTGAAATCGTCACTACGATTTAAGATCTGCTTCAATGGCGCATCTTAAGTACGGGTTTTATAACTGTCAAAAACTTTATCCTCCTAGCACAGTACTTATTAGTTTTGCCGAGGAAATCCATGCGTGAAGGCGAGAAGTCTTCTTTTGAATCCATCTTCTAAATCGCATACACAAAACTTTTTCCCCCTTAACGATCGAGAAAGGTGGTGGGAATGATTAATTGAAAGGCGGTGATACGTTTTTCCGGTTAGGTTGAAGAATTAGATCAGTCAGAGGGAGTTTGATGAATTAGTTAGACCCTTGTGATATCAGCCTCTAAGTCATGAATCGTTTGTGGCATTAGTTTATTGCAAAATAAATTCGGGAAGTCTTGTTCAAAACAAGTTGACAAGGTGCACTTGGTAGAAGACTCCTTCGGCATGCGCCACGAATTGGTCCTTAGCCAAAATTTGTAAGGNCAGTCAGAGGGAGTTTGATGAATTAGTTAGACCCTTGTGATATCAGCCTCTAAGTCATGAATCGTTTGTGGCATTGGTTTATTGCAAAATAAATTCGGGAAGTCTTGTTCAAAACAAGTGGACAAGGTGCACTTGGTAGAAGGCTCCTTCAGCATGCGCCACGAATTGGTCCTTAGCCAAAATTTGTAAGGGGATTCACTTGCATAACTGCTACGTGCATGACTTACATCGCGGCAGTGGGTAGTCAGCAGGTGTTCATAAGTCTGCTTTTCTTTCTGCCAAGCATGCCGAGCATACCAGACATCAATGATACCAACAAATCGATTCGGTTATTTGAGAGACACTGTTTAGATCTTGGAATTCATTTAGGAATCCATTCTTCGATTGGCTCAGGTTAGTTTTCACCCAGGTGGATGGTGCCAAATGACGGTCAGAGGGTGAGCTCTCGGACAATACCCACACAGGCCAACAACGTCCCTTATACTTTCGAGGTCGATAATTTGCATCCCACATCCCAAAGGCGATAATGTCCAAAATAAGGAAAAGACTTGGCGAAAAACGCAATGGCGTATGTTACATCCAAAAAGCTGGAAACTTACTTGCACGGTTGGTGACAGTAGCAGCCTGGAATTCCGCCTTTTTCTTTAGAATACACCTCTCCAAGATAAAGTGTTGCGTTTCGAAGGCAGTCTCGTTGAACCGAGTCGGTGGCCCGGCAGGCAGATATATTTTTACCGTTTGGAATAGGATACATGGGATCTCCACACTTGCACATTTCTATTATGACTTTTTGTGCACAACTTCGATGGCAGGCCTGTAATGAGATGTACTCGCCTTCAGAAGTGCTAGATTTCGCTGCTGACTTTACCTCAACCGAGTAATTGAATCCCTTGTAGATGAAGAACGGATCGGCTTCCCCACCCTCTTTACAGTGACCATGCGGTGCAACGAGACGTACAAATTGCTTCTAAAGTAGATATGATGAGAGTAATCGAAGATGAGAGCTTCAGCTCATTCCCTGACCCTTCTGAGCAGGCTGCTTAACAAGGCCGCCTGTGATCAGGCTGCCTTCCTGCGTTTCCATTACTTCAAGAATCGAAAACTTACCATTCTGACTCCGAAGGAAGACATAAATCCCGTTGGAGCGCTGTAACCGAAAGCATCCGGGAATGGTACAATATGTTTGTCGTGTACTGTTATTCGGAACCCCACTGCTTCCGATGTAGGCAGATATTCGCTCACATTGGCATACAGAAGAATTCTCAGTCCTAAATTTTTCATTCCATCAGATCAGCATATTCCCTACCCGAACAGACATACCGTAATTTGCTCCGGCTCGATGTGATGACGCTCCCCCATGGTTGAATGTATAACAGTTACCGTAGGTGTTATCGTAATACAAAGTAAAATCCCTGGAAATGTTTTGCTAACAAATTTGCCATACCGTATTCTTGCACTAGTTCGCTTATTAGACGTTTTCAAGGAAGTGATTTTGAGAAAGTAGTAGTAATCAATTTTATGGCTGAAAAAGCACCATATTTGGAATTTCAGTTCAAAGCTCAATTTCGTAGTTTGGTTATCCGTTTTTTTTTTTTTTTGAATCCTATTCAGTCTTTCCTTTTTCAAGTCCTCCCGTTCGTCGGAAATATTGCGTGGCGTGTAAAGTCCTATTCTCTATTGTTTGCCGTTCAGAATGGGACACAAAAAGCGAGCAACACGAATGTGCAAACCAAAAGTGTATGTAATTTTTACGGTGGGGAAATTTCGGAATCCGATATTAACCGGCTATTAGGGAGGGGGGAGTGGGGGGAATTGGGGATC